AACGACCTGCTGCCGCGGCCGAGGCCATTCCTACATTCCTTTGCCGCAACTGTGCTGGGGTTCTCCAAGTTCAAGGATACATATCTGGGACCGGGGGACACAGAGAAGTAGAAGTAAGCAAGGCTGACCATAGAATCACCTCAAAAACTCTCCTACTGGTGCTAAGTACGAAAAAGTCTATATCGCTCGATCCTCCAGGTAGGGTTTGATGTGCTAAAACATCATCGTTTGTGACTGCTGCGGTAGTGTCAGCGGTGCCTAATACCACTAGAGAAATCATTCTTGACGCACCCTAAACCTTTTGCCACCACTACCCATGGGGTTTAGGGTTTAGGGTTAGAGTTTCGAAACCTCAAACCCGAAAGTGCCGCTCTGGGCCCTTGTCGCCGGAACAGCACCAGTCGGTCGCAGCATGAGGAGCTCTGCCGCAATGAGGTGGCTCTCTACATAATTAGTATGACAAATTAAACTTCACACTTTCACAATAACTATTAAATAGTTATTGTGAAAGTGTGAAGTTCAATTTGTTGGGGGAACCCGAGAATTGTTCCGGGCTTCAGTGATCAGAAAGACCCAGAACCAATCGGCACACGGATGTTGAATGGACATCTTGATGTTTGTGTCAACTTGATTTGTCGTCTTACTCAATCGTGGAGCAAAATCGAACGTCCTGTGTCCACACACTGCTCTGGATGTGTTAGTTTTTCTTTCTTGTGTGTGGCGTGTCAGGCTTCTCAAGATGAGGCTTATGTTTAGGAGTATAGATGGTGCGCCGGTTCTCATGGGTTGCAGACCTACATATTTCATTTGCTCTACAACAGCACATGTGCATGTCTCTTGTGCTCTGAGGGTTGCACGCAGGTAGCTGTTCTGATCAGGAAGGATGTCGTATCAGTGAGTGGTGCCAGGCTCTTTCAGTTCAGGCATCCAAGTTTTCATGGTCGTGACAGACTTCCTCCTGACATCTCCTGACGCTGGCAGGAGACATTCCCGGACGGCAAAGATGCTGTGCCGGGAATGTTCTCAGCAAGGTTCGATGGCGGATACATAGAGCACAAGATTCGGCGTGTCCACAAGATCCTTCAGGCACCGTCTTGAACATAACATGATCATGTTGGTTGCTTCCACTGCAAAGTGTTTGCGTCATGAGTGATGCCCGACCTGCAAGGCGCACAACTTTCCTGTCTTGATGGTCGACGCCGGCATTGGTGACAACTTCGGCAAACTAACACAAAACTATTTGAACAAGATTGAGAAAGAAAAAGGTGTCTTGATTTGTGTTTGCACAGCTCATTATGCCGAGAAGACCAGCTCACCGTACTGCTCTTTTGAAGAGTTACAGTTCGCGAAAGACTACAGACTGGATGTTCTCCCGCTGAAAGTGGCAGACGTCTACCCCCCGAAACCGCCTGGCGGTCCAAAGCACCCGCACGACAAGGATTGCGAAGCAGAGGCCTTGATTAAGATGGTCTTCAGACCCAACCTCTCCTACAAGGACACTTGGGTCTTGAACTTGTCCAGAAGAACTTAACTCGCCCAGCTCGTTCGAAGGACATGAAACGGTGCATGTCAAGAACAGGCCTCGTTGCCTCGCTAGAGAATCCTGCGCACCCCAGGACTGCCGCAACTTGGATGAGGTGGAGATTGCGCGGGTGATCGCAGACAAGTTGCTAAAGAAGAAGAGCCTCGCCATGAGAAGTTCGTTGTCCTTGCAAGGATCCTTAAACCCTATAGGCAGGAAGGAGACGGGTCTTCAAACAAACAGTAAATACTGTGCAGGTACGTCTTACCTGCAGGCCCCGCACCATGTCGCAAGCAGAGCCATGCCAAGGAAAGGCTCGGGACACGGAGGAGGAGGAGGAGGAGGCTCGCTGGATCTCGGGGGAGGGGGGGGGGTGGGGAAAATAGGAGAAAGAGGGTTCCTGAGCCAGACCCCTTACTCCCCACTTAGGATCCTAATTCAGTTTTTCAACTTAGTCTTCTGTATCGTTATCACGTTTTGTTGTCATCTTATTCATTATTTTTCAGTTAAAGGGGGG